CCCTGTGGGGTAACTGTTTAGCTGATTTTTCAAAAGATGGATATTCAATTCATATTCATCCCAACTTATTTGAATATTCTTTCTGTACAGGGATATGTCTGATGTCAACTAATAATACGCAATTATCCAGGCAATACTAGAAATTATTGCTGATACTAATCATGTTTTGTATTTGGAAGTTGGATACTTGAATGTGTAGTTCCCGGGCGTGTAGTAGACGAGCATAATCGTACTGTCACATGTTTTTCGTCTTAGCCTTGTCTTTTCGTCTTAACCGTCGCAGTCTGCTTCATTGAATGTTTAGTTTAATAATTGATAAACATATATTCAGTGTGAGACAGTTGCTTTAAAGTTGTGTTAATACAAAGATGATTTAAACTTGTCCTTCCGTTGCCAACATATTCAATATACGGAAATAGCATGTGCGTGCGTTTGCGTGAGTGAAACTTGAAGATGCAGGCGAGATTTCTCGTCGCAACGCGTTCTATTTATTTCCAACGCGCGTGGTCGGCGCATTTGATTGCATTTATTTTGTTCTTTCATTCGCGAAATATATCGCTGGCACCGTTTATTTTTGTCATGTCTCGCAACTGAATGTCCAAGCTGACTTTGTTTTGGCTGTAATTCTACCCTTACGTTTGTCCTACCAATCTAAATCAGTCAGGAGCACGCCATCTATGACATGTAAATAAACATACCGGGTGGATATCTAATCACGTGTGAAAATCATTGCATGTTACTACCTGTATTGACATCTGTTATATTAGGACGACTACCAGTCGTCAGATAACTGTCAGACACTTCAAAACCTCCTGGTCCATCGGTGTACAGGATTGTAGTGTACGGTAGATCATCACCACCCAAGCCGGTGTCCACTTTACCTATAGGTAACAATTAAGGTTCCAAATTCTGTTCAAGTGTTTTGAGGATTTGAAAATAGAATAATTTAATGTGGGCTATATTCTTTGAAATAAGCTAAAATATATTTTTCTCTAGTTACAGATATATGCACTTCAAGAAATTATTAACATGTATGACTATAACCCTTTGATTTTAAATTTTGCTAACGAAATTTTGCCTAATTTTAGGTATTTTTTGGTAATTTTGTGATAATTTCAGACCAGTTGAACTTAACTTCTTACTGGCTACAGTTCTTGATCAACAATTTGGAGAGAAAAAAAATATGAATTATGTAGGTATTTAGTTGTGACAATGACAACATATGTCCCCTTTTATAGCGTCGTGTTTGAACACGTGGTGCAATATTGTTATGCATTTTTCTATAATTTTGGGATTTATGGACATAGTTTCCCATTGGCTACCTGTCTTGATTTACATTTTAGAAAAATGAAAAATAATACTATAATTTGCGAATGGTGACAATAGTTGATTTTGGTGCTCAAAGGGTTAATGATATGCAAATTATCTAATTAATATGCACATATGGTATATAGAACTATTTTTTGAATGGTGACAAAAGTTGACTTTGGTGCTCAAATGGTTAATGATATGCAAATTACCTAATTAATATGCACATATGGTATATAGAACTATTTTGTGAATGGTGACAATAGTTGATTTTGGAGCTCAAATGATTAATCTGGTGTTATACAGCCAAACGTTGTGTAAAGTACTGGGCTAAAATGATCAATATGCCCAAAAATAGATACCCACGTAAATGTTATGAAATGTAATATACCATGGAAGAATCTGGGGTACGATCAAAAAGTACGTGGGTTGCAGAAGTTAAAACATTGCTGTCTTTGTGCAATCTTGACCAATTTTGGTATTCCGAAGAAGTTGGTAATATCAATTTAGCCTTGGAATTTTTTTGCTAAAGATTTAAAAATAATTTGTACAGTAAGTGGTTTAGTGATATTTGTACCATGACTAAATTAGATACATATCGTGAATTTAAAACAAATCTAATATTAGAGAAATATATCACTTCCGTAACTGTTATTTCACACACAAATGCCGTATCACGCTTTCGCTGCTGCCCTTTTTATAATGAATTTCGTGATACGCCGTTACTATGATCCACCGTCTTTCAACAATTTTTTTTTTTTAATGAAATCACATGACGATGTCAATTTTAAACGCCTTGGTGAATATGTATTTCATACATTTAATGTTCGATACGAGATTTCAGATTTATTGTAATATTTACTATACAAATCGACGCACAAACGTTCTTTGTTTTGTAATCACTTTATGGACCGAAATATTTGTAAATAAAGACTATATATGATCACAATTATTTAAATATGTAAATTAGTACATACCTAATATGGGATTGCCTCTACTAGGATTGCCTGTTATTGCGTTTGTATGGCTATGATCTGCAGTCACAACTATCAAGGTATCGTTCGATGACGTCATGTCTTTGGCTACTTGTACAGCATCGTCAAACGCTACGGCGTCTATCAGGGCCTTCCCAGCCCTATTGTCATGATGAGCGTGATCGATACGCCCTCCTAGAAAAAAAGTCGGATTAATATAAT